TCTGAAGATATATATGTTTCTCTCAGCGCAAATGAATATAATTTTATAATTATACCGTAATATTAAAGTTAAATGTATTATAATGTGAGAAGGATTAACTTTATTATTATATTGATATATATCTGTATACATATATATATATATATATATATATATTATATATATCTCTGGATAATATAAAAGGGATCAACTCTATTTTTAGATTCGAACAAGCATACAGCAATGACCGAAAATGAAAGCTTTAGATTGCCAAAAGAAGTCAAGCCTATATGTTATGATCTCTTCTTGCATCCAAAACTTAAAGAAAACACATTTTCTGGAAAAGTAACTATTCTTATCGATGTTCTTGATAATAGAAGAACCATAGCTCTTCATCAGAAGGGCCTTAATATTACATCTGCGAAATTGATAAGTTATGGTCTAGAAGAAGATTATGAAATTAAAATCTCTTCCATCAGCGATCCCACAAAATATGAAATTTTTGTGATATCAACTGAAAATGAATTTAAATCAGGATTGTATAACTTGAGTTTAGAATTTGATGGAAGTCTTGGAAATAAAATAGTTGGATTCTATTCCAGCAACTATCAATATTATGACGAAGAAGCGCGCATGATATTAGATAGAGGAATGCAACCAGGAAAACGACCAGAAAAACAAACCAGGTAATATTGTTATCCATAGATAATGCTTGTTATTATAACAATAAGGTATACAGAAACATTGCGATTAATGTAATCAGTTTCTATTTATGTACTGGAGTATGACAGAGTGTTTATTGTAATTATAATATTTTTTGTGTATATTTTAATTGATAGATATATTGCTACTACCAAATTTGAACCAACTTATGCTAGACAAGCTTTCCCATGTTTTGATGAACCTAATTTTAAGGCAGAATTTTCAGTAAAATTGGTTTGTCCTATGGAAAATTCTTATGATTCTTTATCTAATATGAATATAGAGGTATGTAAATTTTTTTAAGCAATATTAATTGCTGGTGCTTGCAAAAGAAAAATTATTTTAAGTAACTCTTATTGAGAAATTATTTCTTTATTTTAGAATGTGGAACTGCATAAGCCAGAAAAGAATCTAAAGACAATAACCTTTGCTCAAACTGTACCCATGTCAACATATCTAGCTTGTTTTATTGTCAGTGATATGGTTAAATCGACAATGATGGCAAAAGGATTAAATGGCCGAGAATTTCCAGTCAGTGTTTACAGCACAAAACTTCAAGCAAGGGAAAAGAGACAGTTTCCTTTGCATATTGGTGTGAAAGCTATCGAATATTATATAAAGTTATTTGAAATAGATTACCCATTACCGAAACTTGGTAAGTATATAATACGTAAGATTTAAGAAAAGTATTTTATTTATTGAAATAAAACCAGATTTATTATAAATATTACAAAATTTCAATAAATTTTAAAATTATTCTTTCTCTCTCTTTATTCTCTGTATAGATATGGTCGCTATCCCTGATTTTGTATCCGGGGCTATGGAAAATTGGGGCTTAGTGACTTACAGAGAAGCAAGACTTCTTTATGATGATTACAATAATTCCATTATTGATAAGCGCAATGTTGTTAATGTAATCTGTCATGAATTGGCTCATATGTGGTTTGGAAATCTCGGTAAATATTTGCACATACAATATCAATCAATAATGGCCTAAAAATATGAAATATATCTTTTTTTTAGTTACCCTATCCTGGTGGAATGATTTATGGCTTAATGAAGGTTTTGCTACATTTATGTCATTTAAAAGTGCAAATGAGATTTTACCGAACCAAAAATATGTTAGTTTTTTTATAGTAATTTAATCGAATATTGATGTAAATAAATATTTCAAAGGTAAATATTCATAAATAAACTCTCTTTTCAGATGGAGCAATTTACTGTTGATGTAATGCATAAAGTGATGATTACAGATGCAAAACTGAGCTCTCATCCTATAATTCAAAATCTTGAAAATCCAGACGAGATAACATCATTTTTTGATGAAATTTCTTATCAAAAAGTATGATTACAATATATTGCTTAATAATGATTTTATACTTGTCATTCATTTTCTATATATATTAGTTTTTACTCAAATTATTGTTCACTTTCACAGGGAGCATCCATAATTCGCATGATGGAGAACTTTATTAAACCTGATGTTTTTTATAATGCTATTAGTACCTATTTGAATAAATATGCCTATCTAAATGCAGAAACGGCGGATCTCTTTAACATTCTGCAAGACGCGGTTGGAGAGAAACTGAATATAACAGCTATAATGGATACTTGGACGCGACAAGAAGGCTACCCTGTTATTAATGTGCAAAAATCCGAAAATAAATTTATATTATATCAGAAACGATTCCTGATCGATCCAAATGCCACCTCCGATCCCTCAAAATCGTATTATAAGTGAGTTATTTTATTTTGGAATAGTAGAAGAAACTTAAACTATTTAAGAATATATAATGTTACAACACTTTCCCTGCTTATAGATATCGTTGGACTGTGCCTATCACTTATATCACAAACAGAATCGATAAACCCACTCTTATATGGTTTAATAAGGATGTGAATAGAGGTACAAATATTGATTTTATTGTAATTTTCATGTTATAAAAAAGTTTTATTTCTTTTTTTTTTTTCCTATATCTTTGATATTAAATTACATAAGTAATTGAAATTATTTTTTCCTTATTCTTTTGTTCTTTTGTTTTGTGATTTACAATAATCTTATAAAATATGAAATATTAAAACTTTAAAGATTTATTTTACTAATTTCTTTTTTTATAGTCTTATTAAAGTTATAATTTTATTCTTTAATTTTGTATTTAATCATGTCAATCTTACTTAGATCTAACTTATTTTTTGTATTACAAAATGTGTTACTCCCAAACAATATAAAATCTTTTATTTGTTCATTTTTCTATCTCTTTCTCTATATAATTTTATATTTTGCAGTCGTGATTGATGTTGACGAACATACCAAATGGATAAAACTTAATGTGAATCAAGTTGGTTATTATCGAGTTAATTATGGAGATGAATGGCAAACAATTGCAGAGCTGCTTCGATATCACCCTACGGTAACTATTTACTTTGTCATTTAATATATTATAAGCAAGAGAATATAATTTGTGTCGTAGATCGATATAGTAGTTCGCGCTATCTTCATAACTTCTTTTTCAATTAACTTCTTTGAATGTTTCTTATTGTATTTTACATTATTTTTTTTCTTTTTTATTACAGAGATTCTCGATAGCGGACCGAGCAAATATTTTGGATGATCTTCATACCTTAGCAGCAGCTGACAAAATATACTATTTTACTGCGCTGACCATAACTTTGTTTTTGCTTCCCCAGGAATATCACGCTGTTCCATGGGCAGTTGCAAGTTCGAAACTAATGTCAATGTATACCTTGTTAAAATCTCTTGATTCACCTCGACCGAATGCTCGACATCACTTTCAGGTAATATATCAGTCAAAGTATTATTTATTGCAATACGAAAGTTATTTTTACATATATATATATATATGTATATAATACATTTTCAGGTTTTCGCACTAAAAGTTGTAGAAAAAATTTACAAGGATGTAACTTGGACTGTCAACGATATCGTGGAAGACGACATGCCGTTCTCAATTGATAACAAAGTACGTATAACGGTACTCGAATTTGCATGTGCCATGGAGCACAAAGAATGCTTGAAAGAAGCTGGATGCATATTTATGGATTGGCTTACTCTGAAGAAAATGCCGCATCCTGATATTCGCGAATTGGTTTATTACTATGGTTAGTCTAGTATAATCAAAATCCTTTATATTCAATTATCAACAACTTTAATTGGAACGCAAATTTTTCGTTAGGTATGCGCTATGTTTCGCAAGAAGATGATTGGTTTGTGATGTTTGAATATTTCAAAGACGAAACCGATCCCATCGAGAAAAATAAGCTAATGAAGGGATTAGCAGGCATAAAAAGTACTGCAATCTTAAAAGAGTTAGTATATTAATAAATTTACTATATCGACAACGTTTTTTATTCAAAATCATATAATCATGGTCAAAATCACATTATGCTTTTCTTTTTCCATTAGATATATCAATAGAGCTTCTGATGAGAAATTTGTTCGTACTCAAGATTTCTTGAGATGTTTGATTATGATTTCCGAAAATCCCGATGGTACATCGTTGGTATGGGATTGGGTGCGCGAAAAATGGGAATGGCTAGTGAAAAGATACACATTGAATGACCGATATCTCGGTCAACTTATACCGGCCATTACAAAATCCTTTGCTACACAAACCAAATTAAACGAGATGAAAACTTTTTTCGAAAGATATCCTGATGCCGGTGCCGGTGCGAACAGTCGCGCCAAAGCTCTCGACACAGTCTCGTGGAATATTGGGTGGCTTTCTAGAGCTCCCCCTGAAATCGATAGATGGTTTGACTGGGCTATGACTTCAGGAAATATATTCCAATAAACACAAACAAAAGCACTAAAAAAAATATCTTAATACGCGAAATAACATTTTGAAAGAAGGAATATTTGAAGTTTAATAATATTGTGCGCATGAACTTCTTTTTCAATTACCGTGGCAATATGGCTACGTTAAACGAAAACATCAATCTACGTTAAGTGCGAAGCATGTTTTTTATGCAATATGTTTATATAAAATCTTGTACTCAAAAATATACATAAAACTTTCTATAAATATTTTACAATTAAGCATAATTCTTTCTTATATCATTAACTAGTCATTTTTCCCTTTCTAAGTTTTAGATCTTATGAATTGTCCCGTAAACTGTCGCACATGAAAATTCTCGAAGGTCAAATCCATTATAAGATCGATTATATTGGACTCTATTTTTTTATAATTGGTTTAATGTACATTCGATTGGCCGATTATTGCCGTAAATAGGATAATTTAGATCGCAAGGATCTTAATTTATCGTGATACACGCGCAAACATTGTATGATCACAGCTTATTTTTAATATCTTGAGTATTTCCAGAAAAATTATTAATAAAATAAAAAATTATAAAGATTCGTGGTCTTACATCAAGATCTTTTTCAAAAATTTATTTGCGCAGCTTTATGTGATCTAGTTATGCGCGCAAGAAACTACAATTTTTTATCCGCAAAAAAAATTGTTAAAGTCATTTCACTTTACTTTTATGCGCGAAAACGATATATCAATTTTATAAGATAACGGATATTCGGCAACGATAAAAAAATTTTTGCAAAATACTAATATATCGTAATAATTTATCGTGAAAAATGCGACGAAAAATTATACAGATGTGATTTTCTGTTTTATTTGTACTATCAAAAGCTGCGGTTTTTCAATTCCAACGGAATCAAATGTACAATATGTGCACATAAATCCGAGACATAAAACAGAAACAGATTCCAGCCACAATGTATATAGATTTAATATGACACGTGGAGGAATACATTGCAAACGCTGACGTGATGTTCGGCAAATGCTGCTATAAGCAATTAATTAACATTTCGCAGTTCCATGCAAATAATACGATAATTTTTTAATTGGAGTAATATATTGCGGAGAAAAATATTTTTTATTATGTCGAATTATGCGCGCGAGGGATTACAATTTTTAATTTGCAAAAAAGATTGTCTCGTCATTTCAGTTTACTTTTATGCGCGAAAACGATATATCAACAAACACACATACACATATGCACGCGGCTACAATGTTTACTGAAGGATATATGTATATATATTATAGCTTATTCATATATAATAATAAAGCTATATGTATATTCCATTTATACATGGAGCTTATTTATTGATATTTCCTATTTCAATTGCTTGTTTCAGTGCATATCCAAACAAATACAGAAAGTTCTAATTATAAAATCTATGACAAAATTTCTGCCGTTTATTTATAATTTGCTACAGTTTGTTTATAATTAAGCGGAACATATGGCACGCACGCTAGTTTCATTTTACGAGACAAAAAGCTAATTGTAAGTCGTTTAATTTTGATATTATGAATTTATTAACCACGGATTCTTTTCGTCTAATCTCTAATTTTGAATCACAAAATCTTTTTAGCCCTTTGCATTACTATCGCGTATTATGATCGGCAGAACCAGCTGGCGTTGAAAGTTCATGTGAGAGAAGGAGGCTTTCTATTACCGTCCTACCATTTATATGTCTCTACCACTCTCCGTTATACAAAAGAAACGAGCTCACATTTTAAGAAAGCTAAGAGACTAAAGCACAGAGAATAAAGCGGACGAATCTCTTGTGACAATTTAATGAAATGTCACCTTTCCGCAATATAATAGTAAATAAAATATTTTGTTGGCATTTCTACGCGTTATGCTCTTATGCTGTTATCATGAAATTTATGAGATGTACAGGGCTCTCCTTTGAGCCTCTCCATTGCATGTTTAAGAAAGAATGATGACGAAAGGCTGATATTTATACAGTTGAAATGCGTGCAACGCGCGTAAAATCGCGTGTATGTAATTTTACTTTACGAAAGTATTCGAGAAGATGAAGTAATGGTTCACCTCGTTATAAAATGTGGTCAATCAAAATGTAAACTCGATCAAAAGAGAAATTATATTGTTCTGAATATTATTCGATTTATAAATTTGAATTAATGGTGGAGCAGATTTAAATTTGATTTGATTTTTTGATGGAAAATGTTTAAGACAGAGCTTAATTTTTTGATATTTATAAATTCTTTTAACAAGAAGTGAAGAAATGTAAAGTCATATTTCCGCCAGATATGTCTCTGACACAGCTTGAAGTTCCGTACGACTTCTCCGTTCGTATATTTTATCAAACGATAATAGCAACTGCCGTCATTTCCGCCTAATAAAAACTGCATGCTGGTTTGTCATCGTGCTCGATTGGCGTTTATCACATTCAAGAAAGGTCTGTCTTTTATTGAAGAACGAATATCACACTAATTTTCTAAATGGTCTCGTAAGGAGTCTCGCGCTTTTATCAAAATCTGCTTCTATTAGATAGTGGCAGAATTGCTGGCAAATTCAGTTTCAATTTTTTTTTTAGCAAAAATGTGTCATATAGTTTTTGAGTTGTATAAGTAATTAATAAACATGAGCAAATAAAGCTGCTGAAGAGGCGTAAATGAACATAATTTTAAAAATTTTAATCTTTCTATAATTTTAAATTAACGTTAACAAAATATCAAGTTGCGTTTATTAATTACAAAAATATCTAATGTCGGAGATTGAAAAAACACACAGAACAATCATGGCTTCTCTTTTTCTCTTACATATGTTAAAGAGTTTAATATTAATTGCTGATTCGATAGAAATAGGGGGAACGTTTTGTATACCTTCATATTATAACTTTTGTTTGAACAGGCTCCTGCAAACTTGATAGTCTTTCTACGAGCGCATATGTGTTGCTAGATTAGCATCAGGCGTATTACGTAATAAATCATTTGATGATCAAATATTTACTGGCAAATCTCTACGCAAGCAGCATTCGATTAAATCTTTTTCTCGTATTATGATTAATAAAAGCTAATTTATAAATAAAAATAATATTTTGTCAATTAAATTGATTATTTTACAAAATCCTCTTAGTAGCTGTGTGTTTACATCTTAAAGATTTTATCTTTATTATATAATCGTACAAAAACCTTAAAATCACAAAAAATGTATGTTATATATATAACAGTTATAAAATAAAGCTTTTCTCCTAGGACGAAAGCAATGCAATTAAATCGAGAAATCCTCTGTTCCGCAAAATCCTTTGCATCATATATATACGTATATCTACTATTAACTGGTGCTTATTCTCCAGAAAAATCATGCAATTCCGCATATGGGAGTACTCTATGGAGAGTCTCAAGCGTATCACAAATACACGCATTCTAAAATAGCTTCACCTCGATTAAGGTATATATATATCCAGACACGATTGAGCTACAAAGTATTAAAACTCTAGTATAACATTTATATAATCTAATCGTGCGCTGCTTTATGCATGGCACTTGACTCTTCATCTTCTTTTTCATTGACGTCTCAGCTACGTGCCCTTCAAACACGTTCGTGCGTCACGTACTTGTGATTATGATCAAGGCACCACGGGGGTTGTATTTAATAGACCGCCGTTCAAAGATTGTGATAAACGCACAAAAAAAATAGCGAGATAAGAGGAATTCGTCTCTCATCGTCGAGAACAATTAATGTCAACTACACAATATTCTTTTCTCTACATTTCACAAGAGAGTTTCTCGATAACAAAAGACGAAAACTTGGCGAAAGGATTAAGATTCTCCTCCCTTGTACATATATTTTATTCCGCTCGCGAAACTATTGTCCCGGTTAATTTCTCGTTTTATTCAACTCGCAATCTCGCGAACTTTCTTTATTCCGAGTGAAATCTTTGCTGATGTACTAACTCTTCTCTTTTCCTGATTCACGAATGCATATATTAGTGACTCTCTGATGTCACTGATATTCTCCTACACATTCATTTTTTAATCGGGTCACAGTCATTTGATATCATATCTTGTGGATTTCGTCCGATTTATTCAAGTTTCTTTCGTATCAATTTAAAAATTGGCGAAAGTTCGCGTTACCTTCTCTCAGTAATCTACGAGCAATTGCTTCGATTGTTTTCTATAGAATTCGCAAATGATCAACGGAAAAGAGAGACATGTTGGCGAATATGCTGATACAATCGGTCGAATAATCTTATAAATATGGCCTTCGAAAGATTCAGCAATCGTAAAAGTCGGCGGGTCATCGTTATTTGTCGTCAGGGAATGTTCCAGATAAGAGATCTTTTTTGGAGAATATGCTGGTATATATTATATTGTCCCTCAAACGTTCGACGATTTTATTTAGGGAGTGATTACACAACTGATACGGCGAGATAATTGTTCCTTTACCGTTATGGGAAATTGAATAAAGTCCCAAGATTTTTCCCCCCTTGTTTCAGATTGCGGAAGGAATACTTGAGATTTACGTTGAAAAAAGAAATGCGAAGACATCGAGATTCGATCTGTTAATCGATTATGCATAATTAAACACACGACAGAATGAATAAGCGACGCAAACGATCAGTGGATTTCTTTTTTTTCTCTTGGTATTCCTTTCTCGAATTTGAGTAATTTCGAGCTGCCTGATAATTGTATATTATAGGAAAAATTAACAGCTTCTCTATGTATAAAATAAATGTTTTGCTATAAAGCTCCACGAAATTCTCGTGGGGCGCAATTTGCTTTGAGCTACGCAAGAAAAATTCTCGTGATCTCTACTTAGTGAAGCTTCGATCAAACTTCCCTAATAAGATGATGAAAGAAACATTACACGTGTCACGTTGTTATATCGATGTAGCAATATATATAATCGCGGCAAAAAAAAAAAAAATTAAAAAAGACTATTTGCGTAGAATTGAGATTTGAATCGATATGGGAAGCATTAAATAAAATTATGGAACAGACGATTCGTACACTTTTAAGGATACTCGACAAGAACGGTATCGCGAATACCCATTCGAACGCACCTTTCATTTGAATAAATTGCTATTACCCAGTTTACAGTGTGCAAAGAGTTCTGTTAATCGGAAATACATTTGTTTTACAGGTCTAGTAAAAGTGCACGCACGATGTGTATATATATATATATATATATATATTTACCTATACACGATAAGATATATAAGTTCATTCTCCAAATCCATCATCAGTTTTCTCAATTTCATTATTTTTACTTTTCTTTTATCTGCGCGTATATGATCGTAAATTAAAAGAAGATAATTTTTCATGACTTCTTCGGCGTGAGCCAAGGACAATCTCGTCATATATATTTATCTTATAATTATCCTATCAAAATTACAAAATATGATCTGGAAATATGTAATTTAAAATCATCAATACTAAAATTTTTGTTTGACACAGTACAATAAAAAAAACGGAGAAATATCTTTCACAGAGAAAGTTTCAAGACTGTCAGACTTTGAAGAATTATCAACAAGTAATTTTCTCGCACCGTCTGGAATTGTCGTTAAGTAACTTCGCAAACTTTAGCAAAAAGCCGATTATATTCACGCTACAGTGCGTAAATTCTTTAATTCTCTTTTTTTTATAATAATCCTATTTGGTTTCGATTAAATACGCAAAATGGGAGTTCTACTAGCTTTTCTTCGGTTTGTTGAGAATAAAATAAGTAATAAAAAATTATATAGTTTTCCATAATAATTATAATATAAAATTATCTCTCTTTTTTATATACATATTAATTGTTAATATAATTTATACATAAAATTCTATTTTTGCACTCTTTTGATGTTTCTCTGAATTTTTAAATTGATCGACTTCATTAAAATCTCCATGAAAGCGAAAGAATTTTATGACTTGTTTCTTAGGTCACAATTTATCGATAAGATCAATCTGTCCGTATATCTATGAAAAAAGAGAGAAAAAAGTGTAAACTCCTATCTCCGTAAAAAGTTTTGTCAATCCTTTTGGGGATCCTTTTAAGTGAGTAGTTTCTATTCAGTGTATGCAGAGAAGGAGAATTAGTTCTATTCCTTCTTCTACGGATTGAGACGATAGTGTCGTTTCTAGTAGTGGAAATACATAAAAATGGAATTGCGGAAGAAGTCCAGATGGATGTCATTGAGAGAGAAGAAGGGAATAACAGAGAAACAATAACGGAGAAGGAACGAGAAAATTGGATAGTGCACGTGATGGATCGCATAAAATGAGCCAATAAAATTTGCATCGACGGAATATATCACAAGCACGGCGAGTGCGTATGAATACGCATGACTCGTATTTCTTTGATTTTTACGAGTGTCTTTTCTCAAACTTGTTCGATGAAATAACGATGAAATTTTTTACATCTACTTAACACCTACTTTAATCTAAAAGAGAAAGTTTAATTTTTAAAGTTCCAAGAATCTTTATATAAAATCTCTAATTTATAATGATTATTCTTAGAATTCTACGTCTAATAATAGCATGGAATTCTAAAGATAATTATTTCCTTTAGCTCATATTATAATACATATATAAAAAATAATTACCTTTTTTATAATAAATTTTATACAAGAAAAAATAATTATAAAACACATTCGGGTTTCTCAAAAGCATTGCTTTGTGAATATTTAATACATAAATATGTTCGCAATATCGATTGGATTTTAATTTTCTAGAGAGAATGGTTTTTAATCGACCACCCCACAATGCATTTCGTTGCATCGGAATGGAAATCCAGCAATAAGGCGAAAAATACGATATGCGTAAATGGAAAAAAGGTCAATCGCGCTATCAAAGGTCGTCTTTTAAAAGCCATCTGGTTGAATGTTGAAACGCAAGGAAATTGAATAGACGAAGGAAAATCGCTAATGAAAAATTACGCCATCGTGTGAACAGCGGGATTGACAATTAAGTATTGTTAAAGGTAGTGCGAGAAAGCGTTTTCAAGAGAACGAGATGACCACGAGACTCGCGCGACAGCAAAGGCAGCTTAACTTTATTTTCGCCGTAAATTCTCCTTTACTGCGTCATTTTAGTTCCCACAAGCGCAGCAGGTATTTATACAAGTGTTTATACAATCCTAAGTTTACGATTAAAAGGCAAAAAGGACTTTTTCGATGTCAACGATTATCTCAATTATTTTATCAAAATCTCTTTCTCTCTGATAATAAGTATAATGAAATTTAAAATTTTTATATGTATAAATCTCCCTTTCTCAGTTGCGTTTTCTATAAAATTTATAACTTATAATTCAAATCCTATTCTATAGCTGACTTGCATTTTCGAAATATTGAATGAATAAGTAACTTCTGGACTCAAAAAACTAAACTGCCCAATTTTTTTTTTTTTTTTCTTTTTTTTTTTATATCTAGTAAAATATATAATTATTGCACACACATTTTTATTAAAATAAAGCATAAAATTGGTATCCAACGTTAGAATCCAACGTTACGTCTATGTCTATATTCGCGTGATATCTTAGACAAAATATTCCCAGCCTCGTAAAGATCAAACTAGTTTCATTGTGGTACGAGGAGATGATCGCGATCTTCGCGCTGGCGCAAAACTCCCACCATAGATGTCTTCGGTACGCGCTAGTTTCGAGGGAGGATTCGATATTTCCACGGCAAATCGAGTTGAACTTTTTCCGCGACACCATGCGACGCTCATATGATCTCGCGATCTCGTGAAAGAGAATAAATACGACGCATATCGTGCATACAACGACCGTGTATCGTGCTACCCCAGATCTCTCGAATTGGATTTTCGCCGGGCTTGAAAGAACATCATCGTAAGGAAATATATATATATATATAGTTGTAAAATATACATGAAATAAGTGTGCGCAAAAAGAGAATGTGTGAGAATATTAATTCAGGCATATAAATAAAGTGATGCAAAATAAAACATAAACGCGACAAATTACTATATCAAATAACAAAGAAAAATAATTTTGTGAAATAATTAAGATAACTTCGCGTTCAGAAAGTAGAAGTAAAAAAAAAACTCTAAAAATTATTTACACGGAATCTCATGTATTGCGGACACGTATTATTGTTTTATTGATAAATGATGTACTATATATTTTGTCGACGTATTGCTGTTCTACTGAAAAATGATACATTATATATTTTTGAAAGAATGATTTCATGATGTCGGGACATTGGCACTACCACAAGAATGACGTGCTTGGCCTTCATTCTTATTTTATTTTTATTTAGTGAATCCAGTCTTTAAAAAGCATCAAAGTTTATTGGTGTCACTTTTTTAACGATGCTGACTAATCACGCTCTGTGTTTACGTCGTGAGCAGCTGTCATCGCCAAAGTAACGTATTTTGACAGTTTGAAATGTAATATTTTATTTGTCAAATATACATTTTTTAGTTGTCTTTGAAACGTAAAAAAAATCATAGCACATTTGTTTTAAATGATCGTATTACAATTTTTTCCCTACGTTAAATGGTGTTTGCATTATATATGGTTATAACTTTCATGCATCGATATTTTGTTTAAATTTTGTTTCATTAAAGAATATACGGCATAGAAAAATAAATGGCGCGTATATATATAACACTTAGTAAAATTTTAGTGAAAGAAGAAAAGAGTGTATTCTCTATCAAGAGAGAGAGAGGGAGAGAGTTACGTGTATTTCCAAGAATAATTAAATATAAAAAAGAGGTATAAATGTAAATATAATCTACTTTTTAATAAATTTTAATAATAATCAATATATTATATAACTTTTTTATATATGGTAAATTTTTTTTAGTTTGACAGTTTTACATAAAATATACACAGAAACAAATTAGCTTAGAGAAAACAAAATTGTTAATAATATAAACAACAAAGGAAATTATAATCGCAATATATATCAGGACAATCGAGATCAACGATGACAAGTTAAAAATCCTTTGCAATATTCTGAAAATCAACAGGTGACTGCAATCTCGTGCGGGTCCGAATTAAAATTTATGACCGTTGTGTGCATCATGCGATTGAATACGAGCGAGAATTCGTTTCGAATTTTGTAGCGGAGATAGCCATCATGATTTATGCGATTGAATACATTTTATGAGAAACGAATGTAAATTTGAAACGTGCTTGTTCGGAAAATTATTATCCGGGGATGATTATCGCCGATTGATAAATAATATATATGCTGATATATAGACGGACTCTTCCTATACAAGCGATACTCTTTGCGCAACAGGTGAAAAAATCGCGGTGAATTTATCTCCATTATTTCTCGCGACATGATTTCGTACATATAAAGGGAAGCGAAGAGCATGCAAAAACGTTATCAGCGTAATAAAAAGAAAAAAAAAAGAAAAACACAGAGCGCACACAGTGCATCCGTTGACGTTGCACAAAGATTAAAAAAAGAAATTTTAAAACTCGATTCGATATTTTTCTTTACTTCGCAAAAGAAACAAACGAGGAAAACAACGCACATTTGTGACGAATAACTTTGTTATTCAACCAAGTGCGCTTATCTATACTTTTCTGCATTGTCAAGGCTTCAACTGCAGTTTGCGCGAGATTCGTTTTCGCCAGATCATTTGATACACAATGCAGGTAGAGTATTTACATGCAATTATTAATGCTTATCAAGTAAAACACTCATTGAGTATTTTCATTACTTTACAATAATTATTAATTATTTATATTTGACATTATATCCTTTCTTCGCATTGTGCAATATTAGTAAGCATCAGATTTTCTCAGGCCAAAATTAAATAGAAACATTACACACACAAGGAACACCATCAACCAACATCATTTTTATATTTAGGAAAAAATGATATAAATAAAACCAGCAAAATCAATCATAGTAACAAACTATTTAAATGTCCACAATCAGTTAAACATTTTTGCTTTTTGATAGAGAGAAACGAGATTTTGGAATTGTGGAATTAAAAATCGCGCACTTTAAAATTATGGAGTAAATGGCCTGATCCATTATAAGAACTGTTTCATTTAACGCTTCCCTCGGCATTTCCGCTTCTCTCATCATGTTCGATCTCATGTCAGTCGAGCGAGAAATCACCACCGCGCGTTACCCAGCGTTATCGACGCGTTATTAAACGCTTGCGTTAGTTATACCATAAACGCGTAATATTATCGCGGCGATAGATCGATCGATTGATTACAATCCTCGAGTTTCCACACTTTGTTTTGAACAAATAGTTTAGCATTCTCTGTTATTAATTGATTATTAATTGACGTCATGTTTTTACGCGTTTTCCTCTCCTATTTACATCAAAGTTATGCAATGACGCGAAATCGGACGATCCAATTCGATTATATAATAAATTGAGTTATAGTTTCGAACTCCTGTCAATGTCTTCCGCAAATGAAAGATTAATCTCTCGATCGATAGCTGCCCGTTGTTCTAATATAAAGCTCCGTATGTTAATAGAACTACGCAATATTGTTCCTCCAACAACGTTTGTTATGTGGACCTTGAATTAAAACCCTCTGTTGTTTTCCACACAAATAACTCTATGCACTCAACACGTTATATCGTGCATTGTTTCAACAAGAGGATCTTTGTTTATTAATTCACTGATGCTCATTTAGTGAAAAGCTGTAACACAATTGTGCGGAGATTTTTTCGGTAATAAAATCGCGCGGAAATGCCGGCGATTCTTAAAAGCATTATGCGTAAACAAACAAATGCGATAAACGCTTACGCTTAGCATAAATCAAGTCGAATGCATAACAATACGTGTAACAAGTAAATATGTGTGTGATATAAATGATTCTAGCGATTTGCATCTGAAGAATTTGAATAAATGCAGCGAAATTCACGACCACTCTTATCGGAGCGAAATCAAAATATCACGCGAAGACACGACTAATTATTCGTGATACATTAAAAATCAACACGTTAAGAAGAAGAGTTCAAAATCAATAATAGAATCGATGCAAATCTTATTCGAATTATTTGCAAATGCTGGAAAAGCATTGACACGAGTTATGTTTGGGTACTTAGCTTCCCCTTCAGGATAAACCTTCCAGGTACTAAGCCCTCCCACCAACGTCAAGGTGTACCCTTTGGGAGGGTTAGATTATATAATTTTATAATATAATATATAATTTGTAATTTATTTTATAAGTAAAGGATTATATTATATTGCACACATTTTTTAATATAAGCGATAAATTACACAAATTAAAATTTAAGAAAGATGATTGCCTGTCTTTACAATGATATGACGAGAAGAACGACAGCTTTTATTTTTTTTTTTTTCAAATTGCAATTTATTAAATCATATATGACATAAAAAGAAATAAATGTAGCGTGTGCTGTGTAATTTTCCAGTTATCATAAAATGCCTCATGAAATAACTATCTCGTGTTATGCGATTTTTTATTGCTATTTCAAAAGCCTCGCGGTTTTATAAATATAAAACTTAAGTGAAACAATAATAAATAACAACAGCTGTAAAAGAGGAGCAAATTGAAATGTGTTAGGGACCAAGCGTCCCGCGAAATCTTGTTTGACAAGACGCGACCGTGATCTACTAACTGAGTGACAAGTCGACACACTTCGAAGATTCGCGTCAAAGCTGTCAAAAGTTTTAACAAATAAAGGAATATAAGTCGAGTAAGAAATAAGCATAAGAAGAAAAAACCGATTTCTGAAAATCAACGGTTTGACAAATGAGAAAACTTAATAATTCATCAAAAATGATCAATGTATAAGATTTATTTTTTAAACATGCTGGCAATTTGCGTCGAAGATCAAAGAGGCGAGAAAACGTAAAATATCAAAATAATCAACTATTAGAGTATTTTTCGAACAATGTTTAATGTTTCATGTTTGAATAAAATTATATAATGCTGGATTGAAATCTCGGTGGAGAGAATAATCCTATAGTGTCGAGATAGAGAGAGCCCATGTGTTTTTGTACCACGGCGCTTACGAAACCGCATTGCCGATGAAAAACATCATCGAATACAGGCAACAAAATTAAAGCCGAGTATACCAGTACGCGCGGGTGAAAATAGTGTTTGTCAGTATAGCGATGTAGAACGTGTTTAAGTACTCCGCGTTCAAGAGCAAGCATAAGGTAGTAGTGGTTAGCGGCTTGTGGAAAGCATTCCACAGTGTCCAGTTTGTTTGTCGAAACGAACGCCGGCTGTAGCTCACGTGGCTGGCAAACGAAACCGAAGAATGTGTGTTCTGTACGGACTAGATCTTTCAATTTATAAAGGAAAATATATATTTAATGTTCGATCCCGATTTGGCATATTAGAGAAAGAAAGTGATTAATTATCAAAAATGTTAATGTTATTGGAAACGTAATTGAGCATGTGCCAAGAGTGTTCTTTTATTCAAGTAAGCAAAAGTCTTATATATATTTTATGTGTGTGTGTGTATAATATCATACGTGATATCTAAAAAAATTATTTATTTATATATATTGTATCACATTTGCATCAAATATCTCGCAATTTTATTCCGACAAAAAATATTATTGTATTTCTATCATTTTTGCATTATGATTTATTGTACTTGGAGAAATGTAACATTTTGCTGATATTTTGTGTAGGTGGTAGTGTACATATAGAAAAGGAAAAAAGGAACTCGGCGAAATACGATGCGTCGGATCAACGTATATATCAGAAAAACAATACTATTGTCAAAGAGCGATTAACATAACAATAATGGGAAAGCGAATATTCATTTTAACAAACAGAATTATCATACATATAACGGAGAATTATCCCTCTCGCGCAATTAAAACTTTTTGAAGACTGCTATCTCGTTTGCAAGATATCAAGTGGATAATTCGCTGATAGCTCCACGGGCTAACAATTTATTATGAATTGTGTTGTTTGCTCAAAATACAATATATCGATCAGGATATCGATCGTGTAACTTTTTCCTAAGGCGGAAACATAAAAAGTGAAAAATTTTACCATTGAAATTAATGGAAAAATATTTCACTTTTTACATTTTTGCCTTAGGGAAAAGTTACATAATCGATACTTACATTTGCGTCGGCGGATAATGAATAAAGCTATTAATAGCAACATTGTCAAGGACAAATTCTTATCAACGTTTACATTAGGATTTATCGTATAATTGATTTGATATGAATAACCGATCACGTTAAACTCTTATAAAATAAAATTACTGCAGGTCCGCAAAATAATTTTCTACGCTCGCAAAAATTGGTTCAATCCAAAAAGAACACTTTATCTGCTCGCAAGTATGTTAAATATTGAAAAATGAAATGTGTTAAATGCATTAATAAAAAAATTACATTAAAGGGTAGAGTTTATATAATAATGATAATAATAATAATATGCGCTTAGGAATTAAACGCGTTAAATATATTAATAAAAATTCACATTAGAGAATGTATATATATATATATGTGTGTGTGTGTGGGTGAGACGAATTGTCAGACGAACAATATTGCACGGCTCCAAGTTTGATTGGGGAATTTACAGGCGGCCCCTCAATTCGCGCAAATTGACCGAAATTAATCGAAGCAGCGGGAGAGAATGCGGAATGTCGTATTAATGGACAGATAATGAAAACCGCTATCCACAATACTATATAATATGTGTAGTACCATTTATAATACGCCATTACTACAAACGCCGAAGGGTGGAAAACGCTGTAATCCCTACCTCGTCTAAACTTACTCGCGCGATTATTATCATATTATTGATATTTGCTCTTTCAAAATCATCTGTGTATCGGATATCGAGAAAAACTTGAAGAATTTGTTATAATTTTAGGTTCAACACGCGAACAAAAGATAAACAGCGAAAAAGGATCGCTAAGAATATATTTTGATTCGTGGAAAAATACACGTTGGACAAAATATATCGAAATCTGTCAGTAACGTTGACCATAAGCTGGGATTCAACGGCGAACATATGGAAGAATGTCAAAACTAACGGGAAAATATTTCATTTTACGAAATACACGGAACAGTATCAGTGACGATGACCTGACATGCTAATAAGTTTCGAACAGCGAAAATATAAGCGGGGATTTATCAGCGTATAAATATTCAAGCTTAATAGCCTGATTATCATGAGATCTGAATCGTCAATCTCGAGAACACGAAGCCGGCGAATATTTTCGCTAATTGTTGTCCTATTACCTGACCGCCGATCGTTCGCCGATTCCGAAAGAACGATAAGGATAAAATGAACAGAATGATTTCGACGATAGAAAATATTACGACGATCCTTGAAGAAACTGCGGGAGACGCCTGGGGAAATTACTCGAGCACGATCGCCGCTTTCCTGACGGAAGAAAGCGCGTCCGATCGCCGGGACCCCCTGTACATCGTACTACCGATCACAGTCATCTACGTTATAATCTTCTTCACCGGCGTGATCGGCAACATCTCCACATGCGTGGTGATCGCGCGCAACAAGTCCATGCACACCGCCACCAATTATTATCTCTTTAGCCTGGCCGTGTCCGACCTCCTACTGCTCATTTCCGGCCTGCCGCCGGAAATGTATTATATATGGTCGCATTTTCCCTACGTCTTCGGCGAAGCATTCTGTATTATTCAGAGCTTCGCCGCGGAAACCTCGGCTAACGCCACCGTTCTCACCATCACGGCTTTCACCGTCGAGAGGTAAGCGTATAGGAATCTATTAAGTATCGCACATGCTAATCTGATGATTGACAGGATGTTAAATATACGCTGATGCCTGTCGATCGATTTTTTAATAGTATTATGCATACCGTGTTTATTTTTCTATTTAAATCTCTTCAACTTCCATGATATAGAGATCAAGAAAATAAACGTTGCTTTATAGGGCCTTTTCTCCTCTCTAGCTTTGCTTTTAGATTATAAATAAACATATCGATGTACAATTCTAACACCCAGGAAAAACAACCGATTATAAGCAGAAGTAAGACAACCGCTTTTAATTTTCTTACTTCTTTCTTTCTCTCTTTTTCTCCCCAGATACGTGGCGATCTGTCATCCTTTCATCTCGCATACCATGTCGAAACTGTCCCGAGCAATCAAATTTGTGGTGGTGATCTGGCTATTAGCCCTCTGTCTCGCAGTGCCACAGGCCATCCAATTCGGCATCACCTATGACTACGTCGACGAGAGCGCAGTCCTGGACAGCGCCAGGTGCTCGACGAGGTGGAAGCTGATCGAGCACGCGTTCGAGATCTCGACCATTCTGTTTTTCGTACTGCCGATGACAATCATCATCGTGCTGTACATACTGATCGCCATCAAGCTGCGACGCTCGAGTCTGCTAACCGCCACCGACAGCAAGAGACATCGCGTACCTAGTGGATTAAATCAGGATAACGGCAGAGGGAAGACGAACGCCCAAAGAAATGTCATTCGCATGCTCAGTAAGTAGTAGCCTCACTTTCATCTTTGGAAATTACTATTCGGAAATCGAGTTTATTTTGATTTTCCGTTGATCAATGATGAATCATCGTTCCATGAGATTTCAAGATTTATACCGAAGTCCGCGCGCAAATTCGGTGAAAAATTGACGATGATCCATTAGAGTTTGCAATTCTTGGAAAAATCCACGCGAAATTATCCTTTAAGATATTTTTAGAAGGTAGATAGGTCAAATTATATGGCAGGTTTTCCCATAACTAAGTAGAACATCATAGTTTTCAATAAATTTTAAGTGAATTTTAATGGAATTTTAATTTAAAAACTTGGCTATAATATATACGAGACACATGTATAATTAAAACTTTGAAAACCTTGAAAACCTTGTTCTCTAAGATGAAATCAAGCTCAGCAATGAATCTGTCGTTAATATTTGTCCTACTTATCCACTTTGCATTTTTCTATACGATATTGGAGCGATGTTTTCAACAAATCTTTTCATCGGCACAGAGACAATGTAAAATCTTTACTGAAGATTTTATTGAATACATAAATCTCTGTGAGAAGATCGTTTTTCCCAAGGTATAGGTAAAAATTTAAACAATTAAAAAATTACAAGTAAATTATACAGATACTTAACAATTACTTTTTATATAATGAAAATTGCAATAAAATTTATTCAACAAATTTATGTTGGTATAAGCGTGTAAAGCAGATTCTATGCTTCGTAAAATATCACGAGACGGAGTATATGTTACGTGGCCACTACGATCCCCTTTAGCGAAAACGAGAGTGTACAATTTCGTGTGAAGGTCAGGTAGTCGGGACTTCGAAGGAATGTTGTCGTAGAAACGCAATAAAAAAATTACGGATTTGCTAATTTAATATTCCAATTAATCAGAAACCAGATTTGATGCGAAAACAGATACCACATGTTTGTTTCCACAAAATCCATGTATAATGCTTATAATTAATAAGCTATCGTCTCCGAAAGGTCCAGTCTTGGAAATTGCCAAGCGAAAAAAATACTGAAAAAAAACCGGTTTGTCCGAATTGATCCCAATCAGACGTGATCAGTCGTATCGACGTGCCTAGCTTCCCGAATTTTTTTCACGGCGGAAGACTATCAGTACATCGCCTGGGGAAGGAGGGGGGAATCGCGTAAATATCAAAAAATAACGAAATATTCTGACCCTTGGGGGAATCGGGCGTCATTTGTCCTGGGATTTTCTAATCTCGTATAAAATCCTCCCGTTGCGACATTGACGTCATTCGATATGACGAGATGAGTCTTCATTCACGTGACATTTATTTCGCATCAAGTTACGAACATATTCGACACATCCGACTGTAGAATATAAATTTCAGGAAATCTATTTACATATTTATATACACACACATTTTTATCTTCTATCCTTAAAATATCTCTACTCTCTATTTTTATCATTCTCCAATTTTTGATATAATTATATCTTGACTATGCACGTGCCAAAACTAATTAAAACAAATAAACATTCTTGAAAAAAAGATTTTACTTGTCACAGGTATTTTTTTTATAATAAAAGGATCATCAAGTTTTTTTTATTGTACTCGTTCTCTATATTTTTTTATTGTTTTCTAAAAATCTAATAAAAATTTTTTAAATTTATTTTATGAAGCAATTTTCGTTTTACTCGAAAATAATTTTACGCTTCGCAACAATTTACGGTCACTGACACATCTTTTAGAAATCATCGTCGATCGAAAAAAAAAAAAAAATATCTACACTGCTTGAGCGTGTAATATTACAGATCGTCACGCGACATGACATTTTTACTATATTAATGTTTGTCCGTGATACGAATGAAATCAACAAATAACTTACGTTCAGTAGAAGGCCTATTGACAATCCCTCGAGGTCCTGGTTATTTTCGTCGATACGATTGGACGAAATTTTCGGGATCGTCGGCCGTGCCCACATCTCGATGAAATAACTGAATGATTTCGGACTTGATTACATTATAGTTGTATATTTTCAGAATTATTAATTATTGATCAAATCGAATAGATTAAACTCGAATAGAGATGTCGAATGAAATATTTCTGAGTGTTATTAAACACATTATTAAGGTTAAATTATATTTCTGCATCGTGTCACACACGTCTCGCAGGATTTATATGATGTTAGTGAATTTCTTGGTGTAATTTTTAAAATATTTCTTTTTAACGAAATTAAAAAGAATCGAATTTTTTTGCTTATATAAAATAAAAATTAAAAGAGATCATGAAAATTAACAAACATATAATAAATTTTTCAATAAATAATAAAACGTTTATTTCTCGCGCTTGATTTTAAGCGGATATTATACGAGCATGACTTTAAAATTGAACGTAAATATATAAAATCTACAATTTGCCGATCAATGTTTGTCTTAATATCGTTATACTTGGCGTTTATAAAAACCGTACCGTCATCAATAACATTTGTCATCAGTGTAATACAACATTTGTACGACGCAAAAAGTCAAGTCGGTATCTCAAGTAAGATGACGAAATTTGAAATATGAAGTAATATGAGATCCCGAAATTACAGCATTTTTCTCAAGAGTTATCCTCTTTCCTCCTTCTCTTCCTCCCATTTTCCACGCTACGTGCACATTTCGGATTCAGGAACTCGTGTCCGAAGCCCCAAGAGAAGAGAATTATTACGCTCAGTAATAGCCGCAGATAAATGATCCGTGCTCTTCTGCTTTTCACGCTTCTAATCTTTTACGGCGTCACGCGCCAAAAGTTCTGATTTTATTCGCATCGACAAATCGGGTTCTCTGCCGGCCTCTTTATTGAATTTCTTCTGAACTTTGGTCTCTCCCTTCTTATCGAATCTCACGAGACAAATTTAAGCGACACATAGAGCAAAGGGGAAAATATATATATTGGATACAGATCAATATAATAAGACTTTGACAAGTTCAATTCTCTTTACAAAAATGGAAAAATGTGCATCAGAGTAATTGTCATCAATTTTAAATGTCGTATTTATAACAAATATTCGAATTAAATCGTATTTATTAAGAACAAATTAATTATCTTTGTATTCTGTGTGTGCAATTACGGGTTTAATTTACATAAACTTGTTATATAAATAATAGTTTCTGATAAGAAAGAGATTGAAACCAAACATGATTGCCGCGTATATTTTGGCTACGAGTTGTATATTTTTTATCTCTCTCTTTCTCTCTCTCCCTCTCTCTCTCTCTCTCTCTCT